GCTCTTCAGGTTATTTTTTGTATTTTCCAAATAATGTTCTTTTAACTATAACCTTTACTTTGAATTTCCTGCCATTCATATATATATATGTGCCGTCTCAAAACTACAGCACTCTGCTACATCTGCTGTTATTTTCTCCTTAAATTGTGGTTCTACTCTGAAAAACGTCTGTTAAAATGGCCCTGCGGGGAACCACTGCTTGTTCTACCAGTGAGTGCTTTATTGAATTTGTTCACATTACCAGTCTGAAAGAGACTTTGCTTTGTACTGAACCAGCAAACTTTGCCTGACATTAGTGAGTCAAGCTGCTTTTTTTTCCTCCTTCTCCATCCTCCCTAGGGATATTGTTGCTATAGGCTAAACAGTGCCCTCAGGTTAATCTCTGTCACTGTGTGTAAGCGGAGAGGTATTTAAGCAGTGCAGTTTAAGTTCTAGAATGAGGCACCACAATGGGGCAACCATGCCAGGCAGCAAGTGTTAAGCCTGCCTGCGCAGCAGATGATACTGCAGCATTTCTTCCCTTCCAACTTCTGTCCTTCTCCTGACAGATATGCCTGACAAAAGCAGAAAATATCAATATATAAAGAGATACACAAAATGTTCAAAAGTAGGGATTCCCTAGCCCTGCAGGCCATGGCAGAACATGGATAAAAGTAGTAAGAAGCTGAGGCATTTGCAGGCACTCTCACCCTCAGCAAGTCTGAGGCCACAGATGGGAGGGGATGGAGGAGGTGTTCACTTTCACTGCCTGCTGGTGGTGCTCACAGGCCCAGAGAAGTCGGGAAACAAGGGTGGGAGGGGAAGCATGCTACTTTCAAGCAGTTTCACTCTTAGCCTGCCTGGCTGTGAACACATAGCTATGAAGTCATGAGCATGAACGTGAACACCGGACACACACTCATGAGATACTCCCACTCGGGACATGAGTCTTAGCTCCTCATTATATTTGCATAACACTAGGCAGAGTGCCAGGACTTTGGTCTGAAGGGCTGGAGCCCAAGCAGCAGAGTCAAGGTATAAGGGACCTCCTAGGTGTGGCTGTCTGCCTCCCTGATGTGTTTGTGGGTTTCTGAGAGCAAGCTCAGTGGTCACATTGGCAGAAACATCACCTGCAGTGCCACCAGGGCCACCTGATCCCGCATTGCTTCCTAGAGATAACCATCAAAGACATGGGTTCTCACCCCGGGCCTGGCTCTCTGTGTCCATCAGTACCCTTGGGCTCAGCAGCCTGAAGGGAGGCCCAGTACCTATGCACTTGTCTGAGCACATAAACTTAGTGTGTGAGGCAGAGCATGTGTCTGAGGCAGGGTGATGTGACAAGTGATCTCTGTCAGCTGAACTGTGGTATTTGTG